AACCTCCTGGCCCCTCTATGGGCCTCAGTTCCTTCTCCTGTGAGATGGGGTGAGGGGTGGATATCATTCAAGCCTGGACCTTAGAGAGAGGTGGCAGGGTAGGAAGGGCACCAAGGGCTCCAAGGCTGGTTGGGAGAGGTCTAGAAGCAGAGCTTACAAGGGGGGGCAAAGCGATAAGGAAGGCCAGTGTCCCTTTGGTACTCCAAGAGGTAACGGGAACACAGAAGTCCCAGGGGAACATGGGCAGATCCCAGCTGGCCAGCCCTAAGTCTTAGGTTTTAAGGTCCTTGCCACCTCTTGCTCTTGCCCCCCATCTCTGGCCACTGTCCCAAAGAAGTACATCAAGGCTAATGACTGAGAGGCAATAGGTTCTTGGGCTTATAGGCTCGTAGCCAAATGATGGCCATTTAGCAAAGTGGATTTGGGGAATCAAATTCTGTTTCAGTCAGAAACAGAAGAGCTCAATCAGTAAAGTCCTTGCCATACAAATGTAAAGACCTTAGCTTGATGCCCAGAACCCACATAAAAATCTGGGTGCAGTGGTGCATGCTTGTAATCACAGAGCAGAGAAGGTGGACACAAGCAGCTTCCTGGAGCTTGGGAAGTTCCAATCCAATGAGAGATCTTGTCTCAAAAAACAAAAAACAACCCTCAAGGCTGTTCTCTGGCCTCTATAGAGATGCACACATCTATACACCTATACCTAGATACACATGAGAACACACACACACACACACACACACACACACACACGAGTCCTCAGATTCTAGAACATAAGAACTTGAACATCCCCAACTACCAGAAACAGAACTTAGCTGGGTGTGGTAGCTCATGCTTGCAATTCTAACACTTGGGAAGCTGAGACACGAGGATCATCATGAGTTTGGGCTCAGCCTGGACTACATCATGAGTTTCAGGTTAGTCCTGATCAAGGGCCAAGGGTCTAACTGCCCCCCCCCCCAACCAATCAACAACAAACAATACAAAAGTCAGATCATTCTGACCATACATTTAGAATTCCAGACTCAGAATTATCCTAGGAATAACAGACAAACAAATGTCTGGGAAACATGACTCAAGGGAAGGTTATAGCATCCAGTGGTTCTCAGAGACTGGGTAGGGTCAGCGTCCTTGATGCAAGAGGCAAGAGGCCTGCCTGCTAGAAAGAAGGTGACCGGACTCTTCCAAGTCCCTGACTCAGCCCCAAGAGCAGTTTCCCAGAAGACCCAGGGAATACTGAAGGGATGCTGGCTGAATAGACCACCACTAAAAGGACAGATGGAGCCAGGGATATTTCAGTGAGCCCCTAAGAGGCCATCTTTACTCCAGGGATTCTGCAGAGCCCTCTCCCCGGGTACAGGATGCCATTGTCCCTGAACTATCTTTCAGGCACCACATGTCTCCCAACACCTGGTCTTCCCTCTCAGAGCTCTTCAGGGGGCATGGTGTATAGGGTACCTCTGTCAACTCCTCTGCAAAAACAACGAGTGACATGGTTAGAAGGGACAGCCTCATACCTGCAGAGCTGTCAGATCTTCTCCAATCATTTTCTTGCCCGTTAGACACATAGGGAAAGTGAGGCAAGACCCTACTGGGGGCCATATAGTCCTTATATTATGTGCCACTATCTCTTAGATACCTTCAACAGTTGCATTTACTTTTAGGGCATTCAGGGGGTTCCTGAACCCTAAATCTGGGAGAGGATGCTTGAAGGGGTTTCCAAAACAGACTGGCTTTGATTGTTTCTGCTCTTACCCATTCCCTTTCCCTGAGGGAGAGACACACGCACCTTCTAACAGCCAAGTCCATCTAGTTGGACCTCTCCTTCTTTGGTTCCCTCTTCAGGAATGGTCCTAGTGAGCCAGGCTAGCTGGCCTTACTGCAAGCAGCCTGGCGGGTCCTGGCAGTGTGGAGGAAGCAGAGGACTGATTCCTCCCACATCAATATTTATTGCCTGAGAGTTTCTAGAAGCAGATCACCCTGTTCTCAGCCTTCGGCTCTCTCTTAAGAACCTCTTACTCCCCCCTTTTCTTGCACCCCATGAGCTGACAGAAGTAGATAAAGACAGCCAGACAGGTTCACAACCGAGACGAGTGTCCCAGGGCTTGATGGCAACACATCTCTAATAAAGCTGACTCCAGGAAGCACAGCAGCTATGACTGCACATTCTCAGAACTGGAGCTACGTGGGGATTGTTCCAGGAATCTAACCTCTCTGCACCTTCTATGCACCACATATGACAGCAAAGAATGGGGAAGCAACTTGCTGCCAAATGACACGGCTGACATGTGACTAAGTCCAGCAGACAGACAGTCGCCCACCCCGCTACCTGCACCTCTTCTAATCAATCACCCACCACTGTTGTTCTCTGCCCAAATATAGAGCTCAACTCAGAGAGAATCTGTCACCGGGAACATAACATCTCCCCTCCCTGTGGGACTCTATCTTCCAAAAACTCTTTCCCAAGTTCCAGGAATTCTGTCTTGGACTGGGCTAGGCAGAACTGGATAGGATGATCTGAAGTTCCAAGCTGTCATTTTCCACTGACATGCCACCCCACCCCCCACGCCGGATACATAGTGCTAGTCCTGCCCTTTGTTGCATCTGGGGCCACTGCCAAAGAACAGTGCCATGTCTTAGCAAGCCCTTCTCCAGGACAACAGCATCTGGGCCCATGCCATTCCCATGCTCTGCTGCGTGCTTTCGCCATGGCCATTGTGGCCTCGCTGGCCTCTCTCAACATACCTTCCTTGTCTTTCAGTCCTTTAAACTTCCAGCACCTGGTACAGGAAACAGAGACTCCTTTCTTCCTGTCCTTCCAAGGCTTCCCATTGGTCCTGAAGCCAGCACTCAAATCTTTTTGTGATTGGGGTCCTGGGTGGCTGTCTCAGCCTCAACTGTCCTTAGCTCTGGGGTAGTAAAGGTTCTGTAGGGCAGATGGGCCTGGGGCTCAGACAAACTTGAACCCACATTCTAATAAACTGACTCTAACTAAAAAGGAAAACAACAAAAAAGAAACAGCCTCTTCAGGTCTACTTCCTAGGTCAAACTTTCCCTAAAAAGAAAGTCCTCTTCCACACAGCAGCAAGCATATTCAGATGCACGGGTCTACCATATTATGCAGGATCCTTTTTGCTGCAAAACATTTAATAGGCTTTTTATAAATTATTCTTTTGCAATTAGAATTACTTAGCAACAAGCACCTTAAGTAGTTTATTTATAATTAAAAAAATTTTTTGAGACAGGTCTCCCTACAGCTCCAGCTGGCCTAGAACTCACTATATAGACCAGGCTGGCTTGAAATCACAGAGTTCTGCCTGCCTCTACCTTCCAGGTGCTGGGATTAGAGGTGTGTGCCACCACGCCTGGCACTAAAATTGTTTTTGATTTATTTTTATTCTATGTGTATGAGTGTTTTGCCTGCATGTATGTAAGCGTACCCCTGCATTACAATGCCTGTGGAGGCCAGAAGAGGTGTTGGATTCCCTGGAACTGGAGTTATAGACTGTTGTTAGCCACCATGCGGGTGCTGGGAATCACACCTGTGTCCTCTGCAGAAACAGCCAGTGCTCTTGACCACTGAGCCATCTCTCCAACCCTTAATTTATACCTTTATACCTTTAAGGTTTCAACAACTACATCCCATACTTGTGAAAAGAGAAAGTACGATACATAAAATTTCAGAATGTAATGACATGTACATATTAAAAGTATCAATACAGTTTTGAATTTATGATTTATCTTGTAAAATTGAGCTTTTAAAAAGAATTTCTTGGGCCAGAGATACATAGTAGTTGAGTGCTTGCCAAGCATGTGTAAGATGTGAGATGTTCAGTCCCAGTACTGGGGGGAGTCGGGGAGGCATTTCTTTCTCTCTTTTTTTGTCATTTCCTTTTTATTTGGAATCAGGTTGTTGTTTTCAGGCCTCATGTTTTCGAGAATTCCTGGAAAATGTGGAGTCCCTGGCTTAGAATCATCTGCTTCCCCCTCATCTTCCAGCTGTGTGACATTGGACAAGGCCCTTCAGGCTGTGTCTCGGTGATGTCATGTGAGGGGAAGTCCACCTCCCTTGAGAGCTCTGTGGGGATTTGATGGATAATCAGGAGCCCCCTTCTGCAACTATTTCTCACCCACCAGCACATCCTTGCTAGGCCAAGCCCACTTTAAGAATAGAAACCATGGGGCGGAGAGATGGCTCAGCAGTTAAGAACACTTGCTATTTTTCCAGATGATCTGGGTTCGATTCCTGTCACCCATATGGCAGCTAACAACCATCCTTAACTCTAGTTCCAAGGGATCTGACACCCTCTTCTGGCCTCTGCAGGGGACACGTGATGCACTCACATACACATAGGCAAAACCTCGTATACATAAAATAAAAATAACAAATAATTTTTTTTTTTTTTTAAAGAGTAGAAACCATGTACTGGCCTCGCGGATTCAGCCTGGAGCCTGGCCCAGAGTAGGTGCTCAATGCGTATTTGGCCCTATCACTGTGCCTGAAAGTGCCAGATTCATGTCTACAGTGAAGTCCTTTGCTGAGGCTGTTTGTACCCAGAATCCTACTGCTCCCCTTTCTGTGCTTCCCTGAGTCCTCAAATGTCCAGCTCAAATCTCGCTACTTCAGGAAGTCTTACAAGACCCACACTCCACAGCCTTCAATTCTTAGCATTCTTGTAGCATGTTCAGAATTTCCAAAGTTCTCAATGACCAGCACTGAGGGGCACAGACCCCAGCAGGCCTGGGTTCTCATGCTAGTGCTCCTGGCTGGCTCACTGAACGTAGGCGAATCACTTCTTTCTACCTCTGGCCCTATATCCTCCAGGTGCCACAGAAGAGGCCTGTGATAGTCACTCCTGGGAGGATGCAATGGAGCCTGAAAAGGAAGGAGCTTGGTAATCTGTGCATGCAGAGACCAGCAAGGATGAAGTTTGGTGTTACAAAGTGCTGTGAGTGGGAACAAGAGGCAGAGCTGGGACAGGGACATGGAAGGTCCTTACTGTGCTGACAGGCGAGGCTGCACCTGCCAAGACCTTCCGCCTGAAGTGAAGTTCATGCTTCTCCTTGGGCAGTTCTCTGGGGAAGAAGAAGTAGGGGATAGCAGCCAGTGCCACCAGGCCAGCAGCGATGAGGAAGCCCAGCCACCAGGCACCCACCCATCGGGGGTCCTTTGAGGTCAAGCTGATACCACCTGCAAGAGAAAACCATGGTGACCTATCATTTCTATGTCTAAGCACCTTAGACCACTAAGCCAGTGTAGTATGGGCATAACTGAAGTCTAATAATTACATAATCTTGGGCAAGCTACTTAATATTTGTGCTTCAGTTTCTCCCTTTATGATATACAGATATTAATAGTGTTATGGAAAAATATCACAGGGTTGTTGTAGAAATTATAGAAACTAATATATATAAAGCTGAAAAAGTAAATTTAATTAAAAAATTAAATTGTGAGCTGGGTATGGTAGTGTATGCCTACAATCCTAACACTTGGGAAGTAGAAGCAGTAAGATTAGAAATTCAAGGTCATCCTCAGTCATGTATTGAGTGTGAAGTCAGCCTGGGCTATGGGAGATCCTGTCTCACAAAACAAACAAACAAAAAATTTTAACCTATGAAAGAAAAAGAAATGTAAAGCGCGTAAAGAAATGCATGCTCTATCGGCACTGCTCCTTCTTTCCTGTGACTATTTCTATTGCAATTACCATTATTAGGAGTATTATTACTAAATTCAATGAAGGTGGGATTGCTGTTGTTGTCTTCAGATCTGCATGGTAAGGTTATCAGGACTGAAGACCTGCCTTCCGATGACCACAGGATGGGTGAGAATGTAACAGAAGAATGTGTTCCTTTAACAAGTCCCATCTTCACAGTTGTGACTTCCCCACCTGTTTTAATTGGGACTGAATGATCACCTTCTGGTCACAGTGCGATTGCCCATAAAACTTTTAAGGCCTGAGGTTGAGTTGGGGATATCCTCTCTCTCTCTCCCTGTGATGAGTGCCTCTTTCCTCTGAATTGAAACATTTCCTTTCTTGCTGAGGCTGGGAAGACTCGGGAAGCTCAGGCAGTTACAGGGTTCACAAGGCTCCTCTCCAAGGTTGTAAAAGCAGAAAAGTTTCCAGGAGGGAAGAGCTGCCTGCAAGTTGTGCAGGGAGCAAATTGTGCAGGGAGCTGAGGGATGAACTTTCTGAGTTGTCACCTGTGTTATAGTGTGCCTTTCCATAATGCAGCTGCCTTTGACTCACCCATGCTCCTGGAAGTAATCCTAACAAGCTTCTTGGGTCACCAAACCAGACTAGGGTGGAATTGTCACTTTGGTCTGCCGTTGGTGCCCTAGCTGGGGTAGAGACATTCATTCACATCTCTTCAGGAAAAGTCACATAGCACACCAACCTCACAGGTTCTTTATAAAAATATGAATCCTAACAGCACCAGGTATTGGCTCCTGCAGCCTGTTCTCCAGGTGCTGGATCCTGAGTTGATCTAGGGAGGGATGAGGGAGCACAGCTGGCACTTGGGCAAATATGTCTACAGAGCCAGGGATGGGTATGGTTTTTGTACTGATGCCTCAAGGCCCGTCCCCCTCTACCGCCCTTGTTTTTGTCTGCTTTGCGTCTGTGCCAGACTGGAGAGAGCCTCACATGCGTCACCCCAGCTCCTCTGCATGCAGATGCCAGCCTGTGCCTGCAGCAGGCAAGAATCACCCACCCTTAAAATGGGCGCTCCAAGGCAGCCCCATGTGCCAGAATGATGTCAACAGGGAGCAGAAAACACCCCCCCTCCCCCCCGTGTGGCAGTGTGGTCAGGAAACGTAGGAGACACCTGACTCCCAGGGCCTTTCCCTTTCTGGAGCCAGGGGCTGCTACCAGAGCCCAGGGCTGCTGCTGGGGCTCAGTGTTCTAGAAGAAAGGGAGATGGGACAGAACTGTCCCTAGTGACTATTGTAGAGAACTGTTCAGACTTGTCCTGGCAGGGAGAGCCTCACATGCGTCACCCCAGCTCCTCTGCATGCAGATGCCAGCCTGTGCCTGCAGCAGGCAAGAATCACCCACCCTTAAAATGGGCGCTCCAAGGCAGCCCCATGTGCCAGAATGATGTCAACAGGGAGCAGAAAACACCCCCCCTCCCCCCCCGTGTGGCAGTGTGGTCAGGAAACGTAGGAGACACCTGACTCCCAGGGCCTTTCCCTTTCTGGAGCCAGGGGCTGCTACCAGAGCCCAGGGCTGCTGCTGGGGCTCAGTGTTCTAGAAGAAAGGGAGATGGGACAGAACTGTCCCTAGTGACTATTGTAGAGAACTGTTCAGACTTGTCCTGGCAGGAGGACCTGGGGGCAAAAGCTAGAGAATGTCCATCAGCCACATGTGTGTTACTGGTGGCTTCTAGAACCTGCTGGAAAATCTCCAAGTGAGAGACAGGAATCTGAGTAGGAGGAGGCAAAAGACATCTCTGGCATTCCCAGCCGCTGGTGTGACAGACAAATGGGCAGCTGAGAAGCCACAGTGACACTGACATGCTCTAACAGAATACCCCATTCCCCCAGGGTTCAAGGTGGGACCCTCACACTTGACTCTCCTGGCCAAGTTCAGATCAAACTTCAGCCCCTACTCTTTAGCCCACTTGGATCTCTAGCTGGATCTGAGACTACTGTTTCCCAAATGGTGCTCTAAGCAGTTGTTCAGGGTCTGAGGTAGGTAGTCAGGGCCAGGACGTTCCTTGACGTTCTCCACCAGGCCATGTCTCAGTTGGGAGAGTCCCAAGGGAAACACACGAGTCACCAACTCCTTCTCTAAGTTGTTCCAGCATGTTTTGGTTTTTCTGGTCTCTGGAACCTTCTCCCCCTAAAAATGGTAATTCCTACATGCCAAGAGGGCATGTTTTACTATCTTCCCTCAACATGCTTGTGCCTGGGGAAGGGCCGGTATGCAACAAGGTAGGGCTGGTGCTAGTGGTGGTTGACAGAGGGTACAGCTCCTCAACAGATGGCCTTTGAAGTTTATCTCCATCATTTTACTGGATTCTAGTGACAGTCATGGGAGATAGGCAGGACAGAGGTTATCTCAAGGATAAGGAAATCGAGGGGCAGAGAGCAGAAGGAAATGGCTTGTCCATGATCAGTGTTGTCACTGGAGTTCCTATAGGTCAGGCTCTGTGCCTGTTATAAGACCATTGGTCAGTTATTGAGTGTCTTTGTGCCCCTGGGGACAAACAAACACTCTAGAGGCTCACCTTCTGGCATCCGGTCAATGTCCACATAAAGGCGTAGCATGAGGCTGCCCAGCCCATAGGCCATGCCCGGCCCCATCATGGTTACTGCAAACAGGATCCCTGCAACACAAAGCCTCAGTGAGGATCCCATGGCCCTGTTGGCCCTCAATGGGACCCTGCCTGCCCTCAGTGGGACCCTGCCTGCCTCAGTGGGTACCTGCCTGCCCTCAGTGGGACCCTGCCTGCCCTCAGTGGGTCCCTGCATACCATCCCTTGGGTCTCTGCCTGCACAGTCTTCCATGTCCTAGTCAAGGTTGGGGAGCTCTCCAGGGCTTCTCCAGAATTTTCTTGGTCCCACCTTCATGCTGAGCTTCTCTTCTCACTTTCTGGACCTGGCCTGCCACTAAGGGCCCAAGAAGTGAGAGCATCCTCACCAAGGTAGAGGGGTGAGTTGCTATGGTGGGCAAAGTCATCAATGTAAGAGATGCCAAAGGGCTGGATGGGCACTCCGCCTATGCCGAGCAGGGTCTGTGCTGTGAACATGATTCCCACCATGGTCAGATGCTTGACCTCTGTGTGGCTGGAGCAGCTGTGGTTGGAGAGGGCAGAGGCTGGGACCACGGTCGTGGGCAGACACAGGGAAGCCTTGAAGTCCTGTGGTGTATCTTTTGAGAGAGAACAGTAAGATTAGTTGAGATGGGGGGTTGGAGAGATGGCTTAGCAGTTAAGAGCACTGACTGCTCTTGCAGAGGACCGAGGTTCGATTCCCAGCACCCATATGGTGGTTAACGACCATCCATAACTCCAGTTTTGACCACAGGCATTGCACGACATGGGTGCATTTACACACATGCAGGCAATGCACTCATACACACAAAATTAAAATAAATGAGCAGAAGAATAGTCGAGATGGACAGCACTTAGCTGAGTGCTATTGGTGTAAGTCGTCTGATCCCCAAGCCTATAGGAGGGGGGTTTCCACTTCACAGACCAAGAAAACTGTAACCAGCTGGGCCAGGCTGTTTGGCTTCATAGTTCCTGTCCTTAGACTGCCCTGGGTCACCTTTCTGAGCAGGGGCATTTGGAAGGCTCATGGCAACAGTGGCTCTTGGGTGGACATAGAAAGAGGTAGAATTTGAACTTTGTTCAGAATGATAAGACTTCTTCAGAAAGAAAAGGAAGGAGGAAAGCTTCAGGGAGAGGTCACAGTAGGGGTAAATTCAGAGCCTTCAAAGGGCACCATGTAGGTGGAATGAGATGTTCCAAACAGCAAAGTCACAGAGTTGGGTCACACCAGGGCTGCAAGCAGGGCTGGACAGGAGAAGAAAGCCACCAGACCATGGAGGGCTCTGGTGTCCTTGGCATCATTTTGAGGAGGGAGCAATGTCAGCTCAGGACACCGACATAGAGTGTAGGAAAGGAGAATTTCTTAATTTAGTATCAGACATTTTTTTCTCAACCAATATTTGGTGAGCAAACTTGAGGAGACCCTTGTACTATTATTATCCTGAAAGAAGTGGCCTTCTTTGCCCAGCCTTCCCTTTGTGAGAGCAGGGACTCTGAGGGTGTCAACCTAACCCTGGCACTGGAAATAACCATGCAACCGAAGTCACCAGAGGCTGTACCCATCCCCACTGTGTGACTCAGATAGACTCTTGTTCTCTAGTCTCTCAGACTCACCTCTGAGTCTCCCCAAACTGCTGTCAGCCTCTAGAGATTATAAGTTCAAAAGCAGAACTGTTCAACAATTGTAGACAGGGCTATAGGTATAGGTCTAGCTGTGAACCTGGGACTGTGCCATTCTCTTTGACCTCAGGGCCCTGAGGAAATAGCTGTTAACACCTGCCTCATTGGTTTGTGGGCATTGAGTGGTGAGTGGTGCCCCTGCCTGTTCCCAGTTAGATATCATGTTTATCATAGAGATTGTGCCAACCAACCCTTTCCACCCTGGGGTCCACAGGGTCTTGTAGAGTGCCTGGCCCGCCACACAGCTGTGGTCTGGAGTGTCAGAGGAGGAGTAGAGTCCTGAGCTAAGTAAGAGTACTCTGAGCTAACCTTGCAAACAACAAGGCTCAGGCAGAAGGGCTTTGTTTAGAATTGGCAGAGAGGACAAAGTATGAACTTGCACAGAAAAATCTCTGCTCAAGTGGATGTTCTGGGCAAAGAAATATGAGGAAGTATTACTTCCCAGTATTCCAAGCTGCCTGTTGGCAGCTGTCAAGCTCTAGATATCCACTCAGCATTCTTTTTCTTTTTAATGTGAGACAAGATCTCACATGTGTCCCAAGCTGGCCTGGAGCTCACTGTGTAGCCTAAGGTGCCCTCCTGCCTCAGCCTCCTGAGTGCTAGGATTATAGGTTTAAGGCATCAAGCTTGGCTCCCATTCTTCCTTCTTCGTGTGCTTTGCCACTTTGGGGGGCTCTGTCCGTGCCCCACCCCATGCCCTGCAATGCTCAACTTCTTCCGCATGCCACTTTCTCTAGCCCTCTGCAGTTCCTTCCAGCTACCAGTGTCCTTTCCCTACTCGGGACTCCAATGGCTTCCTCCACTGTCTCCCAAGCATCTGGGCTCTATGCCTTGTAGTAGATGCTCTACCCTGTAGACATGTCTGCTTCATTGTCCCACTTCCTGGTCTTCCCACTTCCAGAGGTGAAACTGACGTGCTGGGTTTTCTGTTTGTCTGTCTCCTTTCCTAGACTGGGAACCTTCTAGAGGCAAGGACTGAGTGCCTTGAGGGGTCAGGTAGAGTAGGCAGCATGAAGGGTTTGTTATATGGACCACTGGATGCATAGATGAATGAATGGGTGGGCAGGTAGATGGATGGATAAATGAATGAGTGGATGGATGGGAAGGTGGGTAGATGGATGGAAGGATGAGTGAAGGGATGGATGGATAATGTACGTATGGATGGATGGATGATTAAGGGTGGGTGAGTGGGTAGGTAGATAAATGGAAGGATGGTTGAAGGAATAGATGGATGAGTGAGTAGATGGATAGGTAGATGAGTGGATGGGTGGACTTATGGATAGGAGAGCAAAGTGAATGCTCAGGCTGCTTTATGTCATTCTCTAATGGACAATTTCTTTGGTCAACTAGGCTCTCAACAAAACCCTACCAGGCTGAACAGTTTCACAGTCCTGTCTAAAACTCTCCTATTTTTTAGTTGGGTATGGTAGTGCATGCTTTTAGTCCCCAAACTTGGGAAACAGAGGCAGGTGGATCTCTGTGAGACTGAGGCCAGCCTGCAGCCTGGTCTACATCGCGAGTTCCAGGCCAGCTGGTGTTACAGGGAGACCCTGTCTTTAAAAAAATCCTTTTTTTTTTTTAATGCATTCATTCACTCATTCAATCATCATCATCATCATTTTTTACACGGGTCTCATGTATCCCAGGCTATCCCTGAACTCACTACATAGCTAAGGATGGCCTGAAATTTTTGATCCTCCTCATGTCTCTATCTCCCAAATGTGAGGATTACGTGTATCACCAAACCTCCTCATTCTTTTATCAATGTTTTGAATGTTTGTGAGAATGAAATTCACAAATAAAGTGTTTCAACCCACATGTGGTACCTAGAAAGCAGTGTGTGATATTGTTACCATTGCACAGGCATTTCCTCAGAGCTGCTGTGTGCCAGGCCCTAAAGTAGGCTGTATCACAAATTCTCTTCCACTTCAAAGAAACCAGAGTAACATATGAGCAGGCTCTTGCCCATAGAGGACCAGAAGGCTTCACTCCCTGCCCTGTGGTTACCCTCCCCCACATGGACTGGGATCAGAAAGACTAGGTTAGGGCTGGGGAGGACTATCAGGTTTACTGGACAGTAATACCCATACTGGAGGCAGGCTTGAAGATGGGTCCCAGTGCTCAGGACTGCAGTGCCTCAGTCATCTCTTGCCCAGTCCCTCCGTCTCTTACCAGGTCTGCTGTTGTCATAACGGTATGGCTCTGAGATAAAGTGTGGGAGTGCCATGAGCAGGCCTGCCAGGGCCACCAGCACAGCTCCATAGCCAATCATATGAGGCCTGTGTACCCGGCTGCCGAAATAGCTCACGAATACAATCAAGGCTGTGTTCCCCACCTGCGAATGGATGAGGTGATCATTAAGGTGGGGCAGAGCCCAAGGCCAAGGGCCCACACTATCCTTTCTGTCATCACCCTCAGTGTTCTATCTATGCAATGGACTGCTGGTTAAATAAGAATCATCTGGGTTTCTCTTTTGAATGCAGATTTCAAGCCAGGCATGGTAGTCCATGCCTGCAATCCCAGTACTTGGGAGATTAAGTAAAACAGGAGGATCAGTGGGAATTCAAGGCCACATAATGAGATCCTATCTCAACAACAAATACTAAAAAAACAAATAACATCACAAAGATTCTGGGTTGTCCCAGGAAGGGTCTCATTGCTCCTTCAGAGGAGAGATGAGGACAAAGCTTATGGTCAAGCTCACTTTGGAGGAGGGTGAGCAGCTGAGGAAAGGGATTCTGAGCTTCAAGGCCTCAAGAATTCGAGGCACAAGTCAAGTCTGAAGCCTGAGGGAGGAGGCTTGGAATTTCAAGTCTTAAGTTCACAATCCCAGGGTGCTGACAGTGGGAGCAGGTGGGGTGTATGCTCTGCTCCCCTACTTTCTGTCTAGTGACCAATGGTGAACTTCATGATCTTTGAAGGGAAATAGGCAGCATCAGCAGGGGTTTGTGGAGTGTTGTGAGAAGGATGAAACTTACCATTTACTAGACGGGCTGACTTTCCCTCCCCACTTGTAAGATCTGACAGTAGCATGTTGAAACCCATCCTGGGATGGGACTCTGCACTGCTGGCCGTGGGTGTGGAGGAATGTTACTTATTACCCAAGGGAGAGAATTTCACAAAAAATCTGCTGGGGCCATGTAGAGGAGACAGTTCGCTTTCCCTGAGAGTGACAACATCTGGTGGGGGGTGGTGGGGGCCCAGATCAACTGATCTCTAATCCCCAAGGAGCAGTTTGGCCTCTTCTCCCTGCCTGGCTTAGGGCCACAGCCGAAGCCTGTGGATCCAGGCAGCGCTGAGGGCAGACCTCCACAGCAGTATCACCCTTCCTCCTGCTACTCCAAGGTCAGTCAGAGAGTGTCTGGGAGGTAATTTAAGCCTCTCTGGGGACAGGAAAAGTGACTTTCTGTGATTCCTTCCTAGGAAAGCCGATAGCTCCATGCCCAGGACACAAAGGAGTCACCAGGAAGGTGGATGTTTACCAGACCCTGGAAAACTAAGAAAACATCTTATGTCCCCCATCAAAGGGCTCCTAAAGGCAGGATGGCTGGGTCCTACTAAGATGATCCTGGGCAGGAGGAGGCAGCTTTGGGCCTCCATCCTGAACATGAAGTCAGCCACTTTCTGGATGGGGACACTGTGGGAGGAGAGCCGAGAAGGCCTTAGGGATCAGGCCATGCTGGGGGCTGCATGAGGGCGTGGGGAGAAAACGGTCTATGGGCAGTGAGAAAGGAGGCTGATAGAAGGTAAGGGTGTAAGGCTCCCTCAGCATCCACCCCTGCAGTGGAGCTGGGGTCAGTACCTCGTTGAAGGCAGCCAGCAGTCCCGAGGTCTGGCTGGAGAGCCCGAATCGCTTCTCCACCGTGGAGATGGAGCTCTTGAGGTAGCCGGATATCATGAGCTGTGCCAGCTGCAGCATGCTGTGGCACAGGACAAAGAACTGCCAGAAAAGCAGTGACCACAGTGGGTGAAGGGACGCCGGCAGAGGTGTGTGGTGGTCCAGGACACAGAGAAACAGAGTTGGGAGTAGAGGGAGAGTAAGGCCAAGAGATGAGTGAAGAATAGAGGGAGTCGGAGGAGACAGACACATGAAAGAAGAAAAGGGGTGTGTATGAAGAGATGAAAGACAGAGGGAAGGAGGGAAAGATGGGGAAGAGGGAGAGAGATTGTTAATTGGAGCAGCCGTGACATCTCACTCAGAGTGACAAACTAGGGTACAACTCGGGGACTTGGGGGCTACCAAAGACAGACATGACTAAGAACAGGAATGGTGCAGGTCCTCTGGTTTCCCCAGGGACTGGGCTAGACCTTCTTCCCTGTTCTATAACAGTGTCCTCTCCTCCAGGAAGTTCTCTCAGATTCTCCTAACTCCATCTCCACTCAACTCCCACCCAGTCTTCCCCAAAGGCTGCTCCGGAGACACCCCTTCCCCTGAATTCCCCAAGCTACTCCACCCTACCTCACCTCAAGCAACTCTGCCTGTCTGAAAAATTGGCAGAATTTCTAGAAGTAGAAAAATTTGCTTCAAAGAATTAAAATATGAGCATACTTGTGCCAGAGCCCAATATATTTGCTCAATACGTCCTAGTCTTGCCTTCTTCATTTGTACAAGGACAATGGCCCCACCTCCTGGGGCTGCTGAGGGAACTCGGGTCATGGGGGTCGGGGTGGGGCTCAGTGGTGGAGCACTTGCCTAGTATGTGCAAGGTCTGGGCTTCTAGCCTCACCACCGAAAACAACAACAAAAATGAGCATGAGTGAACAGTATCCTGCTCAGGGCCTGGCACTCAGTAGGTGTCTGCCAGTGAATGTTTAGGCCCCACTTGTGGAGAGGGAATTCTGATATTCACTCAGGTTTGGGGTCACAAGGCTTTTCTTTATTTCTCTGGAGGAGTGGGAAGCAAGGGGTGCTGTTCCCCCATTATCCACAGAGTAGCCCCTATCAGCCTCCGCGAAGAGAAAATCTGGTCACTTTCTCGGTGCCTAGAATTGATCTAAGAGCTTTTGAGGGTCATCCTTTTGACCTTCCCCACAACCCATCCTCCAGGTGAGGAAGCAGGAAGGCAGATGCTTGCTTAGCATTCCACAGCCTTGCTTTGCTGGGCTTAGAGGTCACTGCCCTGTTTGGCCCCCCAAAAAGGTACCTTGATGCTGTGGAACAGCTTCGGTCGCATGTCCTGACACGAGTCCTGAGGCTTCATGCTGACTTTGCTTTCACATGTGTCTTCTGTGCCCACTGTGGTCTTGGTGTCCTGGTCTGGTATCTGGGAGCCCTCACCTGCTGACCCTGAGGGACATCCAGCCAAATGATGAGATAGAATCCCTGAGAATAGCCCTGACCCAGGCAGACCCCACAAGCAGAGTGTTTTAGGGGGAAGTGACATTGGTGAGGGTCTGAGAATCAAAGCCCCATCAGTCTTTCTGACTCCTGGGTCACAGTGCTGGGAGAGACCTTCCTGAGAGGCCTCGGGTCCCATGTGTTTCTGCTGGGGTGCCTCACTCCATTACCAGCACACACCTCCTTCTAAAGAGAAGCCATTTATTCCCCAACCTCCCGCAACACACACAGAGTACCCCCTGGAACAAACACCCTCATATTAAATATGAGCTGTACAGTCTTTCAGTAGGTCTTGGGCCAGGGGTAGGGTCAAGGTTGGGTCCAAAGTCAAGGGATAAAGGCTTCTCCTGAGTGTGTTTGGGACAGACACCCCTCACCTTCATTAGGTACTATCCTATGTGTAGCCACAGAGCCAAACTGTCAATTTCCCAAATTGTACATCAAAGCACACAGCTGTTCAGTGAATAAAGGCCATCAGAGCCCATGTCATTTAACCCCCTCCTGGACAAACAGGCCCAACTGACTTGGAGGCAGAGCTGTTTTGGACCCCTAATCTCATTGGATTTCTTCACATGGTCACTATGGTAACAGGTTCACTATTATCTCCCAAGATATCCTGCTGATTCTCAGTGGGAAGCCTGGGAGTCTAGTCTGCAACACTCCACCCAATTTTTTTCTGATGGAGACTAGAGCCTTCCTCCTCCAGAGACTCTACTTCCTATGGGAAGTATCCTCCATTGTTTTATGTCCCTCTCACTGCAGGCCAGAGTTTCCCCTCATTCAGCATGGCCTGCTGGAGGCTGAAAACTGACCTGAGAATGCCTCTGACTCCTGAGAATGTAGACTCCCCTGACTCCATCTCCAGCCCTAGGAAGCAAACTCAGGAGGGCTGCTGAGGCCTCACCGCCACAAGCCAAGCTTCTGTGCCCTTCACACAAGATGTTTGGGAGCCTGAAGACCATTTTCATAACTAATAAAAGTGATGGTTAATCTTGATTCTCAACTTGATAGGATTTATAATCACCTAGGAGACACATCTCTAGGTATATCTGTAAGATGGTTCCAGAGAGGCGGAAAATCCACTCAGAATATGGGTGGCATCATCCTGTGGACTGGGGGTTTGGACTGAAGGAAAAACAGAAAGCGAATGGAGTGGTAGCATTCATCTCTCTCTGCTTCCTGGTTGCAAGCATGATGTAACTAGTTGCCTCACATGCCTGCCACCAGGCCTTCCCCACCATGACAGACTGGACTCTCAAATGGTGAGCCAAGATAAGACCTCCTGTAAGCTGCTTTTTGTCAGGTATTTGTGACAGCAACAAGAGAAATGACTGATACAATATATAATCCACATACCATAGAACGACTCCTAAACTCATAATCCATAGATTTTTGGTATAGTCATAGTTATACAACCATCACTTACTTCTGTCTAGCTCCAGAATATTTCCTTACCACAGCAAGAATGCTGATAGCACCCCATTCCTTTTTCCATAGTTCTGGAAATCCCTAATCTACTTTTCTGACTCTGTGGATTTCTTATTTTGGAGATTTCACATAAATGAAATCCTATAATATGCTGTTGCATGTAAATAATTTCTTTTTTTAACTTTTTATTTACTTAATGTGTATGAGTGTATGCCTGCATGTATGTAAGTACACCCGTGTCATGCAATGCCCACAGATGCCAGAAGACGGTGTCAGATCCCCTGGAACTGGAGTTACGGATGGTTGTTAGTGGCCATGTGGGTGCTGGGATTCAAACCTGTGTCTTCCTCAAGAGCAGCCAGTGCTCTTAACTACTGAGCTGTCTCCCCAGCCCCCGTAACTAATTTCTTTTAATGCTGTAATATTTCATGGTTTCTCCAGTTGTAGCATATATTAATTCTTCATTCCTTTCTCTGGCTGACTATCACTCCACTGTGTGTATAGATTACATTCTCTTAATGCACCCATCAGCTAATAAACATTTAGGTGATTTCAGGTATTAACAGTCATTACAACTTTTTATATATGACACGCATCTTCAGTTCTCTTGGGTATACGTGTGTGAGTGGGGCTGCTGGGTCCTTTGAAAGTTCTGTTTGACTATTTGAGAAACCATTAAATTTTTCCACAGTGACTGCAGCATTTTACATGCCCATGAGAATGTTCCAATTTCTCTCTGCTTTTTCTGTTCCTCCTCCTCCTTCTCCTCCTCCTCCTCCTCTTCCTCCTCCTCTTCTTATTATTAATGTTTTGGTCTTTTTGAGACAGGGTCTCCCTGTAGCCCCAGCTGGCCTGGAACTCACTATGTAGACCAGGCTGGCTTCGAACTCACAGAGATCCTCCTCTCTCTGACTCCCAAGTATTGGGATTAAAGGCATGTGCCACCATACCTGGCTATTATTATTATTATTATTACTACTACTACTACTACTACTACTACTATTATGTGTATGGGTATATTGCTTGCATGTGTGTAAGTGTACTCATGTCATGCAGTACCCATGGAGGTCAGAAGAGGGTGTTGGATCCTCTGGAACTGGAGTTACGCATGGTTGTTAGCCACCATGCGGGTGCTGGGAATCAAACCTGGGTCTTTTGTAAGAGCAGCCAGTGATCTTAACCACTGAGCCATCTCTTCAGTCTCTCTCTACTTTTTCTAATACTTAATGGTCTGTCTTTTCAATTGTAGCCACCCTAGTAGGTGGTGATGTGGTGGCTGTACAATTTGATTGAGGATACTGAGCAACTTTTGATGTTCATATTGGTTGGTCATTTGTGTAGCTCTCTGGAGAAATGCTTAGATAAGTAACTGGAAGAATTTGAGGAAACAGAAATGTGTATGTCTGGGGAGAAGTTCCATTTGGGGCACAAACACCCAGAGGAAACAAGGAAAAGCAACACCTGGCTGGGAGGGGATGAGGGGTTGCCCTTCAGAAGGGACAGGGGGAGACCACTGAGGTCACATGAAGAAGAGGCGATGAGAGCATGTAAAGTGAATGCTCCCCAAGATGGTGAGGAGATCAATTCTGAGTTTCAGCTCTCTTACCTGAAAGTTCAGTGGAGGCCTGCCATCTACTATAATCTAGGTATGCACCATGAGCTTTATATGAATCAGCACATGAACACCATCAGAGCTCTGTTCCCTTTGTTTTTCTATATCTTCAGGCTTCTGATAAAGACACCCAGCCCAGGCACTGAAGCCCAGGTATTAAACTCAGCATCCTTCCATGCCCCTTGTATAGGTCTGACAAGGGGAGGAAGCACAATGCTCTAGCTTACCCAAACCTAGCTGGGTCAACTCAACAGCAGTGCCAGCCTGCCCAGAGGCCAGGCCAGAGTGGAAGGACAGTGGGCTAGCTTTGAACATGCAGCCCCAGCATGCAAACCCTGGACCCTTAGCCTGGACTCCTGGGCGCACACAGAACCATCCTCCCTGTACCCCATTCACAGCCCTTCCCTTCTGTCTCTCCTGCCCACTCCTTAAGCCCACTCACCTGCCTCGGGTAAGCTCCTACTTGGCAGCCTTCTTCTGCTCTTCCTGAAGTTTCCATCTCAGCTCCCTCTGCCAAGGTTCAAAGTCTTCCTGGCTTATTCTGTCTGTTAGTGATACGACTACTTCTCGGGGGACAAAGTCCACCGCTTTTGCCTTTGACTGGGGGAGACCATATGTTCTAGGTTCTGAGAGCAGCCATTGTCTTGGCTGGCTGCCAGTCAAAATCCTTGCTTATCAGGTAGCTAGTCAGTGAGAGACTTGGCCCTTATGAACAGGAGCTGGTGTTCAGATATTCACTCTGGTCACAATCAGGTGACCAGGGGCACTACTTCACAGATCAGCCTGTCCCCTTTCTGTGCTCATTCTTTTCTGGGAAAGTTCAAGACCATGCCTCAACCCACAGTACCTCCCCCAGGGACAGGGAAATTAGAAAGCTGAGTATATGTTTCTTCAGGCTTGAGGTGGACTCCCAGAATCCCTCTCAGCTCCTATGTGAACCCAAACATGCCTCTTGATCTTTCTGAGCCATAGTTTTCCTCAGCAGTAAGTGGAGGATGACAGACTCTACAGATAGGGCTCAAGACAGGCTGCTCCCAAACACAGGCATTTGAGAAAACATCGAGAGCCTGAGGTCCTCTCTCACCTCAGCTCCTCTCTTCTCTCCTGAAGCAGGTCATGAGAGCTAGGAACACTCTCTGACCTTCTCCCTCACTTCTCTTTTGAAACATATCAAAACAGGCTTGGCTAATTCCCCTCCAGTCTGTCACCAACAGGTCACTCCCCCTTTGTCCAGCTGACCCCTCCACAGTTAAATACTTTATCTGACCTAGCATAAAAACACAGTTTTCTGGGATTTTTAAGTCTTCAGATCTTCTACTGAAGGCTCCCATATCACATGAACTCTATACTAAATAACTCTATGTTTCTTATCTTGCTAATCTGTCTTTTGTATCTCAGCCAGGAGCCTAGGAACTGGTTCCTAGAGAGGAAAATCTCTCCTCTCCTCCACTGCCTCAGGGCAGTAAGGCAGGTGTCTATCAGATCTGACCTATCTGACTGACACCCACCAAGGACCATTTCCCTCCCCATTCCAGACAAATCTTCCAAGATGTCCAAGGCAACCCAGCTCAACTGAAGCCTCCTTCTGCCTCCTACCTCCTGCTTCCTGCCTCCTGCCTCCAAGTTCACTTCTTTGTCTTGACAGAACCCATCTATCACCTGGATTGCCTCTCTCCCTCCCATTCAAGCTCCAGTCAGCCATAAGACCTGGGAAACTACAAGCTTCTCCTTGAGCACACTCTCCGGCTTTATATGTTATGACCCCTAGTCAGGAGCTCCAGTTGCAACCAGCCATGTGGCCTTAGATCTGCAATCCCCCTGGCTTCCCACTTGGGGTGCAGGAACAGCAGACCCCCTGACCTCCAGTGCAGAACCCAAATGAAAACCCAATCATTGGACCTGTGCACCA